CCCCAAAACCCCAAAACCCCACCTAGTCATAATCAGTGCCAATGAGAGAAAATTTGAAATAATTAAAATTATAGGATTTATTCTATTAATAATTTTTGTAAATTAATTTAAATGTCAGAAAGACTCAGCTATCAAATCTAATCAAATTAGAATCAGTCATAGAGATTACAAGAATATGGGGGAGCTAATTAAACTATCAGAAAACCCAATCCTACAATACAAATGAATTCCTACAGATTAGTTAACAATTAGATCTCTCATTCTTAAATAACAAATCAAAGTCAAATTCAAAATATCAATCACAATCATTAGCTCTCATAGAGTGCCATTCTCTAATCTAGTAATAACAATCAATAAAATATCCTTATATACAATCAAGGTATGCAAGGCAATTTCGGCCATAGTAATAATATCAAGACAGTCAGATAGGCTCCTCATTCCACTCCAAACATCAAGATAATATAGCCAAGAGGGAGTTAGTAGCAATAAAAGTAAGAGGCATGGGTACAATATACCTAGAACACGGCATTAAATGATCCCTAAATTCAGCTCTAAGATTAAGATATTCAGCTCTTATCTTAGTTTGAATCAAATCAGAGTCCTATATATGCTGCATATAACATTAAGAATGGACTTTATATAAGACCAAACAGCCCAAATAACAGTGCTAATCACAATAGTGTCCAAATGAACTTACCATAAAATACTAGAAATCAGAGCAGAAATTATCATATCCAGCTTAACAATTAGAGCAAATTGAATAATACAGCTGCTTCAAACATGCATATAGAGGAAGAGAAGAATGAAAATAATGACTCGCCAATAGAAAACTTTCTTGAATATAGATTCAGAAACTTCAACATAATAAACCCTGTACCTACTGAAGAAGACTAAGACTATGAAGTAATAGAAATAACTTTGCCTCAATCTCAGAATAACAACACTAATTCTCAGAGTGTAAATTTGCTAGGATAACAAAGATTAGTACCACCACCAACCACAAATCTTTTTAGTCCTCCTCCAAATAATACTCCACCTCAGGAGAATATAGACCTTCTACCGCTCCCTAATCGATAGTCACTCCAAATAAATTAAAATCAGTCATAATCTTAATAATTCTTGTACGGGGGTCAATAATCTTAACTTAATTCAGCTCCTCTGTTATCCCCAAATCAATCAGATTTGTGGAATTTATCATAAAATCTCACAGCTGCGACTTCTAACACTGTAGGATCTACAGCAATGGACTCTACTATATTGAATATGACTCCATCTGAATACATGAATAGGCAATAGCTATTCCCACATGAGCAATATAACTATAATCCTTAAATTATTCTTCTCCAAAGACCTCCTCCTCCATCACCATTAAAGACTGAAGAAAACACTGATCAAGAGAGTGTTTAATCTAGGAATTAACCATCAATAATTGTTTTAAATGATATTGGAGACTTGCAAAATATTCCATCTAGGTAATTAAACTATATCCAAGCTTAGTAAAGCCAACAATAACTACCAATAAATTAAAATCTTGGCTCTCAGTCTGTAGTTTCTTCAGTTTACCAGGAAGTACTCGAAAATTAGCAAAGATCGAATTAAAGTACAATCAGAGGGCTAGAAAAGGTTATTGAAGAGAACGATAAGCTGAAATAATAAGTAAGAATAATGGAAAATGAAATCGCAAGACTATAGCATTTAAACACTCAATAATAGAGAGTTATTTAGAATCATATTTAATCCTGCCAGAATATTACAGTAGTCTAGGATTTTAGAAATATTTGAATTAATATAACCAATTAAGAAAACTTTTCATTCCTAAACCCACCAATTCTAAATATAATACTTAATTTCATTAACAAGAAATAACTCGAATAAACTAGATTGGGGTTTTGGGGTTTTGGGG